TCACGCCGAAAAAGCTGATCCTTCCGATTTTTGTATACATGTTGAGGTAATGTGTCATATTAAATATCCAAAAGTGTGCATTTATTGACAAGCAGTTTTAAAAATTAAAAAAATTTACCAAATTACAATCGTCTCTGTATATGTTTAAAAATTTTCAAAAATTTCAATATATCTTATTATTTTAATAAGCTCTGATATCTTATGTGCGGTTATTCATTGTTCGAAAAGGGGCATAAGATACTGTATGAAATAATATAATATATTTTTTTCTCTTTTCTATACAACTATATAAAAACGGTTAATATAAGAATTTGTGCACGAAAGTATGTATAATACCAAATCTATAATTCTAATACATTCCGTTTTTAAATTAATTTTATATTTTGCCTAATAATCAAAAATCACAAGAGCAAGAATCTTCACACAATTATAGAATACAACTTTCCATTAATATAGAAAATTGAACAAACAAACAACTTCCCAAATATTAATAATGGTTTCTGTTGTTTCAATATGCACATGACTTATTCATTAAAATTTGCATATCATAAATCTTAACTTCCCACAGCCAAAATCCATACTACCACCCTTGTCTCTTATAATCTTGTCACTATTCCCAAGCTAGGGATGCTTTATTTTATTGATAAATTAAATGAATTGTTCTTATACCTGTTTAACAATCACAATCTGTCAAACTGGACCATTTTTAAATCTACGTTTCTTAAAGAAAATTCTTATTTTATAAGCTATGTTGAAAGTCAATTTTCTCTGAAGAGACAAAATGGCTTAAGCTAATTTATGCTTTTTGTTTTGCAGATTTTACCTATTTCATACGGTCAATAAGATCAGTAAAATAGAAGAGCATATGTGTCCTTTTTACTTATGAGTTAGTTGCAAGTTGTTAAATAATGATATAGTCTGTCTTTTATTGAAAAAAAGTAATAAATTCTCATTAAAGATGCAAAACGTAATACGGTTGTGAGAGGTAAAAGATATACAATAGGTTGGAACGAAAAAAAGATATTTTTCTAAATCATTCTGTCATAGATGTCAAAATATACCTATAGACAATTAAAAAAGAGTCACTGTAGCTGGTTGACCTATTTTAATATTTTCAGGTTCCTCACGGGTCTCAAAGTTTTGAAGATTTCACAAATTTTTATGTTTTTGCAATTCGCGGCGATGTAAAAAAAGGCACAAAAACTTTTTGTCACAGCATTTAAAATGCTTATTTTAGTAAGTTAAATAATTTCTCAAAGGCTATTTTGATTATTTCAATGTCTTCTGGTTCCTCATTGGCTCTAAAAGTTATATTTGAGGCAGTTTATGTCTTAAATGACGTGCTCGTATTCGGTCACACCACTGGCGTTTATTGCGATAGTGGGGGAGTAAACAAGTTGATACATGATGGCTGGTCCTATTTCCTTCAGTTCGTCGTTGGCTTTATTCGTTACAGCAGGTAATAATTTGAATAGCGAATTAATTATGACTACTAGAAGTGAAATTTATTGTGAAATTTTTGGCCACCCTGAACTGATATACAATCGTGTGTTACCGACGTACTGTGACCTCATGTTATATTATGTATTTATTCAACATGATTTAAAATCTAACAATAACGGCAAAGATCCTATTGTTTGTGAAATATTACAAATCGTTGTACCGAAAATTGAAGAAATTTGGCAAAGTGCGTCAATTTCTACCATTTCACGACGTCGCATATGGGATAAGTTGAAAAGTTTTCACGAACGTTACAGGAATGTCCAAAAGAATATAAAATCCAGACAAAATATTGCAACCATTTAACTTAAATTAACAGCTTTTAGAAAAGAAGCGTCTAGCTTATTTGACGTAGCATACTGCAAATGCAGTTTTGAATACCGCAAATGTGACAAATCAAAAAAAGGTGCCTCTTAAGGAGCAAACATTTTTCTTAGACCAGAGAACTAATAGGATAATGGGCATAGGGACCGTTGATTTCAAAACTACTAAAAAACTTAAAATCGCACTTGAAAGAAAAGCCGAGACAACAGCCCATTTGATAAAACTACAAGACACGCCGCCAAGTAGTCATTCCATCGCTCAAGAAAGATCTTTGTCTATCTCCAACAGTGAGGAAAATGAAAAAAATGGAGGAAGAAGAGGACGAAGAAGAAGAGGTTGAACTAAAACACGCGTCATATAAGTTTACTTAACTAGTTTTATATTTGCCTATTATCTTACTTATTATCTATTAATTACAATTAATAGACACAATTATTTTATTAGGTGAAGATAAAGCAGTCACAAACATCGTCACAAATGAGACTTAAGTTGCCTTCTGCAGCGCTTGCTTGTGATAGAACTGGAATATCAGATCGAGCAGCAGCTATAATTGACAATGCTGTTTTGGAAGATATTGGTGTTTTATCAAAAAACAATTCTGCAATGACAATTGATAGAATGAAGAGTAGAAGAGCAAGAAAAACAGAACGTGTGGTCTGTATCACAGAAACAGCAAATGTTAAAGAGCCAACTATGGTTCAAGGAAAAACTGGTAGCACCTGTAAAAGAAAACTTATCACAGAAGAGCATATTTCTGTGATAAGTGAACCTAGTTCCAGGTACTTGAGTCACATAACACCGGAAAGCGGCTGTACTTTTCATATTAAACGATCTCCTGTATATTTTTTGAAACAAGATTTTGATATAGAAGACTTAATTGCAGTTGGATGCGATGGTACCGTAGTTAATAAAGGAGTGAAAATGGTGTGATCTGTTTATTAGAAAACCAATTAGAGCGTCCTCTGCAGTGGTTAATTTGTTTATTCCACTTTAATGAACTTGAATTGCGACATCTGATAAAACAACTAGATGGCAAAACGTCTGGCCCACGTACGTAATATTGGACAACAGCTAGAACACTGCAAAACTCTTTCTCTTGTGAAATTTGAAAAAATTACCAGCAATCCTCCCGTTTACAACAAAGAATGTATCCTTAGCACAGACCAAAATTACCTCTTTGAAATAGTGCAGGTGATTGAGTCTGGTAAAGTTTCTGGTTCCCTAGATTTAAGAGACCCAGGAAAACTTTCTCATTCACGATGCTTACCACAGCCAACAGAATCTTAAGATTTTACGTCGCAACTAAATGCCTCGCGGAATTCCTGTGTATTTTAGTTAATTACATCATGAAAGTTTACGCCCCGTTTTGGTTTCGAATTAAACTCCAACCTTCTTATGCTGACGGTGCAAGACATTTATTCAAATGAATCGAATCTTGTAGATTTTTACCGGAAAATGTATTAAAATTTATACATCCCGTAATTCAACGCAATGGGTTTTTTGCACATCTGGAAAATGGATTACTATCCTTGCTTACGGATGATGAACGAAAATACAGAGAACTCGGTATTCGAGGTATCCTGAGGGCTCGGCTTTCTTAAACAGTAGAGGTACGCGAATTTACTCTACCTGTTATAAATATTAATGCAACACATTACTATGAAATAATTTTTTTGGTATGACGTATAGGTGACTGAACCACCAATAACTGCAAACATGGAAATTAGCTTACTTAAGGCCTCAGATTTGAGTTTTCCTAATTTACCAAATTTTCCATGCAACAAACAATCAGTTGAACGATGCGTTCGCGTTGTTACAAAGGCATCCTGTACGTGGCCATGAAAACCATGAAGGATTTATCCAAGCCCGCATAAAATCCAGGAGTACATTGCCGACGTTTGAAAAAAATCAGATTATTTTAAACATAGATAAATGAACTTATTTTAGGTACTTTACTCCAAAAATCGCATTACTTTTAAGTTTTGTTTTTTTTAATTAATTCTTTTTTTGTTTTAAGTTTAAGCATAATAATAGTCTGTAAGTTTTTTTAAATAAATTTTTGTGTTCAATTTCTCTAAATTGTTGTTTTATAATAAAAAATTAAGCTAAAATAATTATAGCAATAAAGTATAAAAAAGTTAGACTAGGTAAAAATTAGCTTTTGAACGCACACTTAGAGCCTCTTGAGGAACCTGCTAATATCAAAATGTCACTTCCAGTTTTTGCATAGTGATCTATGACTACAAAACGTACCTTTTTGTAACTATGATATTAGTTTTATTTAAAAAAATCTAAAAACCAATACGCGTTGATAAAAAATTTTTTTTCTTCAAAACTTTGATCTTGAGGAACCCGAAGATAGCAAAATATTCATTCCAGCTTATGCTTAGTCTTTTTTGATTATATAACACACCTTTTGAAAACTGTGACATAAAAAAAATCAGAAAAAAACATATAAACCCAATTTTCGTTTCACCCTAATATACAAAGTGTCTCAGAATGGAATTCGCTTTTTAAAAAAATCGTGACATATATGACATTTGAAAGTTTTACTTTATGATACAACGTTAGCATATATAATACCGATTTTATTTAAAAAAATTATATCATCCGGAAGTCATCCATACTCTTCCACCAGGCCCTCATATTCTGCACTACGCACTGTCGCATATTTACAGGAATATTGTTGATTTCGACACGTACAAGCATCTTTAACTGTTGACATTAGCTGGAGAGTCGACGTAAACTTTTCTCTTTAGATACCCTTATAAAAAAGTCTAAGGGTAAGGTCCGGTGACCTTGGAGGCCAGGAAAGTTCGCCAAAGTTTAAAATAGCTTTATCCGGAAACAGTTCTCTGTTGGTGTCCACCGACTCTTTTGCCGTGTGGGATGTAACTCCATCCTATTAAATAGATGTTTCAGCATGGTACTACCAGGAAATTGTTGAAGTTTCGCCTTGAAAAAATTATGAGGCATCGAAAACTATTCACAGTTAACACGTGATACCGATTATTCCCAAAAAAATATGGACTGATTATGCTGGCATATGACAATACGCGCTAAAATATTTTTAGGTGTTCTTATTGACCGTCTACGTCTACCGGTTTAGAGACAATGCAAATGCATCGAATGTCTGAGTATGCTAGGATTAATTTCTGGTTTAGAAACAATCTTAGCTTCTCAACCGGGGATCGAACCCGGGACTCCTGAGTGAGAGACAGTTGTTCTTACCACTCAAGCACGAAGCGAGGAATATGATTGAAGAAAAAATTATTAGGACGAACTAAAATATCATGGTAATAAATGTAAAATGTAAAATTCACAGTATTTCGATCAGTTCGTCTTTGAATTTTCATCCCCTGCTTATGACACAACTATTGGTTCCATTATTTTATCGATGATCTCCTAGATTTTTTTTTCATAATCTATACACTTCCCCCACTTCTCTCTCATGTCGAAATATAGTAATACCATGTATTTCTACATATTGTCGATAATATATGTTCTAAAACATTGTAAAAACATAGTTTTCACAAAATTTATTTCTTTTTCTGGAAGCTACTAAACAATTTCAGATTTTGGCCACGTTTTGCCGCATTGTCCATTACTATTAATAATCCACGCGGAATTGGTTACAGCTTTTGTCAAAAATAATTCTTAAAAATATCTGCAATGACATATTCATTGTAGATTGGACTGAAACACTATTAAACCATCTGCTAGAAAGCCTTCACACTACCAATATGTGATATATAATTGACGTTCCCTTTCCGATGGAATTTTTTCCTGTGGATCTTCTACTACCCGTCAGACATCACTGAGGTTTTAGTGACTGATAGCGGCCTACGAAGCACTGACCACTAGAGGGATACACTTATCACTCACTATGTCTGTCTTTCTTAGTCTGTTTTAAGCTAGCATGGTTTGCTATCATTATGTGTCTTTTCCATTACTTATGTCATACTGACGAGAACATAACGAGTTCGAAACCGTTCTATGTCTAGTGAGGAAATGACAAATGATCTTAGCTACCAATCAACATCGTGAATTAGCAGCAATAGAATTACTAGATCTAAATACAGTAATTATTACGTCGTACAGGTCTCCACGTGGAGACTTAAATATATATGTCTCGTGCTTAATAAAAATACTGACGAAATTAAATAAGGCAGATAAACAAGTAATCTTTAATGGAGATTTTAATGTTAAATTCAATCTCAATGAAAAAAAATAGTAAATTAATCTGCGATACATTTCGTTCTTTTAATATGAAAAAAACAATCAGTAATAACACAAGATTCTCAAATTGCCTGGACAATATATTTGTGAGCGCTTCTGACTATGTAGGTATAAAGTACCAGCCCTATGTAATTGATCCCAAATTATCTGATCACAGTGCAGTCGTTAGAGACATAATCAACCTAAATACCATACTAAGAACACCAAATTTTACTTTTATTAGACCTATAAATGAAGTAGGTTTATACAATTTTTATAACTTAATAGTAAATGCAGACTTTAGCTTTATTAAAAACTCGGCCTTTTCAGTTGAGGAAAAATGTAAATTATTTATAGATATTCTAATAATAAATGCAAATACTGCTTTTCCCACCATAAAAAAAAGAATAACAAATTACAACAAAATAAAATGGTATACACCGGAACTAAAACAATGTAAGAATACATTAGATTTTTAACCGATTTTCATAAAAAATTTCCTTAAGCAGTACTAAGATTAGAAATAAATCGTCTTCGTTCCTTATATAGAACTGATCTTACCTCGGCTAAAAAACAAGCGAACAAAAACTATATAGAAGAGTCCGAATACAAACAAAAATCAATGTGGAGGTTAATAAATGCAGAAAGAAAAAAGTATAGATGCAAAAACGAATTTATGTGAAAACTTAACAGCAGATAATTTCAAGAAATACTTTATAAATGTACCAGATCAAATAACAGAGCAACTTCAAACAAACAAAAATGTCAATGTTACTCAAAATCACTTAATAAACGTAAACAGTAGTTTTGAATTTAAAGAGGTCACATATAACGAGGTAAGAGATGCTATACATCAACTAAAAAACAAAAACTCCATGGACATATATGGTATAAACTATAAATTGATAAAATACATAAAAGATCTTATTATAATTCCTCTTACTAAATTATTTAACTTTATTATAAACACCTCTGTATACCCAGATATCTTTAAATTAACGAAAATAATTCCTATCTATAGAGAAGGTGATGAAGAGGAACTGGCAAATTATAGACCCATTGCTCTACTATGCGTAATATCAAGAATTCTAGAAATACTCTTAAGAAATCAAATAGTACAATATTTTGAACACAACAATTTACTATGTCTCGAACAATTTGGTTTCCGGAAAAACAAATGTACAGAACAAGCTATTATGTCATTGGTGGAAATAATTATTGTTGAAGGATTTGAGAAAAAAATATATGTCGGCAGTTTGTTTTGTGACTTAAGTAAAGCCTTTGACTGCATCTCACACAGCATTTTGATAAACAAGCTATCTGGGTACGGCTTTCTCCAAAAGAGTGTTACGCTAATAAATTCCTATCTTAGCAACAGCCAGCAGACCTGCTACTATAATGAAAACTTTTCAGAAAGCCTTACTCTAAAAAGTGGCGTTCCTCAGGGTTCAGTGCTGGGCTCCATACTGTTTCTAATTTACGTAAACGATCTTACCGCTTCACTCCCTTTAACTAAATTTGTGCTTTTTGCAGATGACACAATTGCAACAAACTCAAGTGATAACATGCACCAACTACTCATTCATATTGAAAATACCAAATCAGTCTTATCGTCATGGTTTTCAAACCACAATCTTCTTTTGAATGAACACAAAACAAATCAAATCATATTTACCAATAGAAACTTACTTGGATATGAAAATCTGTAATCCACAAAATTTCTGGGTGTTGTTTTGGACCCAATACTATCATGGGAGCCCCACTCAAACTATGTATGCAAAAAACTTAATAAGAATCTTTACTTACTAAGAAAACTGTACTATCTGTTGCCTCAAGAAGCAATGCACACCAGCTACTTCTCACTCTTCCACTCTGTTCTCAAATAGGCAATCATATCCTGGGGTCACTCTCCCCACAGTTCTCGTATCTTCCAAATTCAAAAACATGCAATTCGCACTATATGTGGTTTGACTTTTAGAGAAAATGTAAAAAAGATTTTCTTAATTAGGGATACTTATTCTCCGTCTATATCCTAGAATGCTTAATTTACATAAAAACTAATCTAAACAAATATACAATCATTTCTGAAGCACATAATCATCATACTAGGCAAAGTAACAACATAAAAATAAATTATACAAGACTAACCCATAGCAGAAACGCCTACAATTATTATGGTCCAGTATTTTACAATCACCTCCCGCTCTCAATAAAAACATGTGAGCTTACACAATATAAAAGATTACTAAAAAGTCATCTTGCCAAAAAATCATTTTACAGTCGCAATAAATTTCTGGACTGCAACTTTAACGATTTAGTGACCAACATCACCTTTTCAGTCTGATAATTTGTCAGTATCTTTATTTTAGTATCTTTATTTTAATATCTACTTTCAATTTCATGTTGTGTAATTTTGTCTTTTATTTGAATACACGTGGATGTATATGTGTGTGTGTAATTATATTGTTGTCTATAGTTATTTATTTTGATTCAGTGTATTTTATGTGTATACATGTGTGTATATATATATATATATATGTGTATATGTATATGTGTGTATATATATATATATGTATATGTATATATGTATATGTATATGTATATGTATATATATGTACAATTATTATCGACAAATATGACTACAATGTGTTAATTTATTAACTAGCTTTAAATAGACTTAGTACATTATTTTGTTATTTGTATGTATATATCACCACCTTTATTTTGTATATCTGACATAGTTATAACATTGTAAATGTTTTTAAACCAAATAAATCGAACCAAACCAAAACCAAGATTTGCAGGTTTAATTCAAAGCAGATCGGAGCTTTTGTCCGCTTAGTAGTTGTTTCCTGTAAATCTTATTCAGTATATAGTTTACTCCATCAGGGCTAGAGTCGCAGCTCTTGGTACCTGCTTGGCAGGTCGCTATCAGCCACTAAGACATCAGTGATGTCTGACGGGTAGTAGAACTGACAACTAGAGGGATACACTTATCACTCACTATGTCTGTCTTGCTTAGTCTGCTTTAGGCTAGCCTGGTTTACTATTATTATTTGTCTTTTCCGTTACTTATAGCATACTGACGAGAACATAACAAGTTCGTTGCAAGTTTAGTTCAATACAGGTCGGGGCTTTTGTCCGCCGAGTAGTAGTTTCCTGTAAATCTTATTCAGTATATAGTTAGCCCACCAGGGCTATAGTCGCAACTCTTGGTACGTGCTTCGCAGGTCGCTATCAGTCACTAAGATGGCAGTGATGACTGACGGTTAGTGCACTGGCCACTAGAGGGATGCACTTATCACTCACTATGTCTGTCTTGCTTAGTCTGCTTTAGGCTAGCCTTACTTATGGCATACTGATGAGGACATAACAAGTTCGAAACCGGTCTATGTCTAGTGAGGAATTGACAAATTATCTTAGTTACCAAACAGTGTTTTCAAGTTTAATTAAATGCAAGTCGGGGCTTTTTGTCCACTAAGTAGTTGTTTCCAGTAAATCTTATTCAGTTCATAATATAATATATTTTAAGTAAACTAAATTCAATTTAATAAATAAAGAATTTAACAATTATACATTATACATGCGTTTCGCCCTCAAAGTTATATAATAATAGTAATAATAATAATATACACCATAGAAATTAGAAATTGTAAATGATTGTAAAATTTAATGTCCTAATGATACCAATTTAGTTGCCGAAACACATACAGTCGAGAAAATTGTAGAGTGGTTCAATGTTTGTGAAATTTACTCTTCTGAACTATTTGTAAATTTATTGTATAACGAGAAAAATTTTTCATAAATAAATTAATGAAATGGTTCATTCATTATAACACATAATTGTAAATAGTTAATTTATATTAAAGTAGTTTATAAATTTATCGTACCTGTATTATTTAGTAATAAAAATAAATTTTTCCATATAGTATTGTTTTTAACTTATTTTTAAAGTAAAATATCTTAATTTCAATTTAATGGTTTTAATAATTTGAATTAAGGTTAGTTCCGGTTTTAATATGCAATA